ATATATATATATATACAATATAACATAATTGTATACACATATTTTATTGTGCTTTGGATTTCTTTACGGCATTGTTTTGTGATTTTGAACGTTTATTTGACTGGTCTTTAGATTCATTTCTAAAATTGTATTTTTGCTGTAGTTTCTCCCTAATAAGTAAACCTCTAATAAGTTTTCTCCAGTTGGCATAAACCTTTTTCTTAGCTTTCTCAGCGGCTCGTTTAGCTGCTTCAATTTGTTCCGTTTCCCAAGCTTCTCGTAATGTGTCTTCGTATTCAGCGCACACGACATAGCCCTCAGTGGCTGGTACAGCGCCCATGCAACCGAAATTGAAACCGACTACAGCAGTCGCGCAATCTATGTTCAATTTCCGCGCGATTCGATTTAATCCTGGAACTACAAGGATTTATTCATTGAATATGCATTAAAGATATACATTACCGTATACTGCAATATTCAGTCCTTTGATTTTGTACAATAAAATATTAATTCTTCTAACACATTTAAAATGTTCTACATTAATTTTGCTACCCATTTTATTCAATGTGAAATAATGTGATAAAAGATAAAAGAGATATCCTATCATTAATATAAAAGATATATTATATTATTTATGAATATATTATATTACTTACGAATTATATGTACTGTGCCTTTTGGAAGCATACATTTTTTAAATAAATCCACATTTCCATATTCATTACGAGGTACAATACCATCTTTAGCCTCTGGGGGAACGTAGTCTGTAGTCTGCCATTCTCCGAATAGTTCCAATGCAGAGTCTTTAAGTCTCATACCTGAAAGCTGCGAAATTTTTGTTACATATTTCATTCAATGATTTTTATAAAATGGACCTAAATTATTTTCTAGTTAAATTCTAAAGAATCCTAAGAGATTATGTTTATAAAATTTACCTTGTCATATTTTGGAAGTGCTTTAACTATTTTGTAAGGATCCTGTTTCGGTTTAACTACTCGAGCTTTCTTTAGCCACGTCTCTCGTGAGCATAACGTATATACGCAATACCGTGAATAAATAGCTTCGCCTGTTTTCAAATGTCCTAATGGTACACAATCTGGTGGGTACAAGGCTTCATATTTGAGTAAATGCCTGACAAGAACGTATAACGGATGCCCTTTGCATTCGCCAACAGTTTTAGGTAATGGTTGCTCCAATTCCCTGTGAAAACAATGCTTTGTTATATTTCAGATCTTTTTTGCTATCCTTCACGTCGTAATTATAGTTAAATAGGTAGGATAGGATTAAACTGTATGGTTAGAGAAAAATGAATAAAAGAGAAATTACTTTTGCAATAGTAATTCATCTTCTTGTTTAGACATGGTCGTCTCTCTTTCTTGCCAATAACTTAAAGTCTCAATCCACCATTTCTCATCAATACGCTGTTTACGTGTGACAGAAAGCCACTGTGGACAATAGCGTCTTGTGACATCTTTTACTAATCTTTCCGAATTATAAGCTATCACATATAATACTGGCTTGCTTGCTTTTTTCTGAAACATTATCGTACAATAAACTTCATAAAAATCTTTCATTTGTATACCGAATAATTATAAGTATCGTATTACATATAAATACTGAGATATATCACTTTCTCAATTACTTACGTATATTTCAGCTATACAATCTACGTTTCCATCTATAACATTTATACATATCCAACTTGCTTTAGATTCCACATATACTTCGGCCCATATATCTTGTCTCTTTTTTAATTTGTTATCAGTTTCTTCATCATCTGTCGACACTTGGTCCTGTTTTTCATTCTTTCTTTTAGATTTAATGACTGTTTTACTTTTATCACTACATTTTTTTTTTGATTTTCTACACAGTTCTTCTTCTTCGGAACTTGAACTATTATTTCGTGATTGTCTCTTGAAATTTTTTGTTTTAAGTTGGTTATCTTCTGAAATAATTTTATTTTGCTGTTTAGTTGAAGTGGGTACAACATCACGTGGCTTTCTAGTTCTTAAACGCCTTGGAGATGGACCAGGCTCTACTTTTCTTGAACTTGTAGAAGCTGTTTCTATACTTTTGGATGTAGAAGCATTATCTTGTATGGCTATATTGCTATTTAATTTATCTTTGTTTTTCTTATTATAAGAATACTTTGAGCGAAGAATCTCTGCTGCCTTTTTCTTTGCTTCTTCATTAGCATTTCTTCGTGCATTCTCGTCATTCTGAATTATACTGTTATTTTTGAGATCTTTCTTTGAATCTACATTTTTCTTAGTTTCCTTCGAATTCACATTTTTCTTATGCTGCTTTGAATTCACATTTTTCTTATCTTCCTTCGAGGATGTCTTTTTTGGTTTTGTTTCATCTTTAATTTTACTATCTTTTTTTACTGTACTTGTTTTAGGCAGTAATTCATTATAAGTTTTTACAAGTGGTGGATTGAGAGATACTACTAAACGACAATGTAAACCAATACCTCTTAGTATTGCTACATATAATATTACTAATTCCTTGTAATTGTAAATTTTCCTCTCTGCGATTCTATTTAATAATGTCTCCTTATTTATAATAACTTGATCATCAGTAGACTGTATTGTAAATATATTTTTAAACCATTTTGTAAATTTTTCTAGGTATTCTAAATTAAAGTTATCTTTTGGATAACTTTTTGTTGATATAAGAGAGACTGCTGTTGCCATTATTTCAGGTTCATTGGCTTGATGATTTAAGTGAAATCCATATGCCAACCAACAAAGTCTAGCTGCTTTTTCTACAATAATCTGATTAGCTTTTAATTTTTTTCGCAAAAGTGCAGCCAGATCTGATTCCCTTTTGTTGGCTGTTTTCTTTTTAAAAATCATACTTGTACCAGGTAAAGTTATTTGGACACCTTCCTTAGGTATAGCATAATCTTCAGGACGTTTAACATCCTCTTTTTGTTTCTCGTCGTCATTCGTGTCTTCGTCGTTTGTGTCTTCGTCATTCTTGCAGAATGCATGTATTCCGCTTTCCCCTTGGAGCAAAACAGCGTTTATCTCGTCCGATATATTTTTTTTCTTTTCTGTTTTGACTTTTCTAGTGACTTGTGTACTGTCGTACTTGGAAAAGTGTTGTTTGGGTTCCTCATCATTGACAGAAGCTCTCTGTGAAGCTTCCAGGTTCTTGACCACTTCCGAGAATAGTTCAATGCTATTGTTCTCGGGTACACTCGCGAAATTCTCATCGTTGCTGCTCTCATCCTCGCTATTGTCCTTCGAATCCACTAGGTTAGGCTTTGTCACCGGTTTTATTGCAAAGAAACTCGCTGTCAGTTCATCTTTTGGCGTAATACCGGCGAAATCGTTGCTGCTGTCGGAACTGTCATCGTCGGAATCATTCATACTGGGTGTTATACTGCGAAATACAATGTTTTTAGTCTTCTATTACTTGTTAATGTTTGTTATTATTGTGCTTATACTTACTGCAGTGCCTTGTTTTTAAAATTGATTTTTTTTAATAATGCAATACAACAAAGATTGGCTGTCTTATACGTAGTTGTCACGAATTATATTATGTAGATAAACTTGTACACAATAATATAAAAACGATGAGAACACACTGCACGTGTGTATGAAAAGGCACAAGCAGATTAGCAGACACAAGAAAGCATTGTTATGAAACAGTAGAGGTAGATTATTATTACCTTCATATGATACATAAGCTTGCTAGTTTACCGATGGTAAATACAATGTGCAGATGCGATGTTATGTATAATTATTTTACAATTTGAAATAAAATTTCTTTGATAAACAACGTGATAAGATAAGAAAATGAGATTTTTGATAAAAAAAATAGAATCTGTATAAATAATATAAAATATTGTACATCTATACATTTATTTTAAAAAGAAAATTAAATTGGATTAAAGCGAATTAAATTATTTTTGGCAAATACATGTTTAAAGATGTGATTATACAATTAAAATTTTATATTATAAATAAATATCATATATTTTTGATATTTTAAGATTATATTTTTAAGAATACTAATTAATAAGGCTCTGTAAGTATAAAATAATATAAATAAAAAAAGGGGCAAAGAGTCGACGATATAACAATAGGCTTGCTCTTTTTGCCTGCACTATCTGCACCAGTTCAGACAGTGCAATAAGTTGAAGTGAAACAAACGTAAATCACCCAGATAGTGCAATAAGTTGAAGTGGAACAAACGTATATCTGTTTCACTTCAACTTATTGCACTGTGGGCACAGTGTAGAGAAAAAGAACAGGCCTTATGAATACTAGTATTTTGCGTACGTATTGACCAATCTTGGCTGAGATTGATGCAGATCCATCAAGATTCATCCAGAACTTCGTGGATGGTCGTGGATCGATGCCGCGTCCGCGAGTTCCGTGCGTCGTACGGTTGGCCGTAGTGCGTAGTGTCGTGCATGTTGAAAAAGTTGTATCATAGCCGAGCCGAGTCTCATTTCTGACGCCGATTCAGACTCATGTTGAGTGTCAAGTATAATCGAGTGTCGAGTCGTGACGTGAGATATTATTCCTGATCCTGATTTCTTCTGGTACACAGTAGTCACGCTCGATCGCATTTGGTCGCATTCTCATCTGGATCATCCTTGTCTGGAAATATGCATAAAATAGGCAAACTGAACTCATCGATCGATATTATTCCGCTGCAAGGTTCGAGTGGAGATTACAGATCAAAACACATGGATAATAAGCACAGGATGGATCAAAGACTTTTTCGAGATCAATTGTTGATCGGTCGCGTGCAAATGGTAATGTAAAAAAGCATTCACATATCGAGATTATTCTTTTCGATTGTTTTTCTCTTTGACGTATCTATTTAATTAATCCGCGGGATCCACGGTGCGTACGCGTACGCAATCAGAGCAAAGTACGCAAGAATTATTGTTAATATCATGCGTGAGTATGATCGTTTAGCAAACTTTACTTGTTTTCATGTTACATTTATATGTTTTGCAGTACATGCACGATAATGAAAATAAAGTATATATCGATGTAAATGATATGGCAGACGCATTGCAAAGGCGATACAGAGATTATCGTGGTAAGAAACGCGGTCCGTTTCGTAGAATGGTACGCGAAGCTTACGACGAGCTTACTAAGATTTTTTCAAACAAGCCTTCGACGCGTGAATGCTCGGTGTATGACGATGATGATTTTGAGGATGTCGATGTTGAGGTACCTTGGACCTTAATCTTGTATTATTGTGGTTATTATTATTATTTTATTCTTGATGCAATAGCTTTTTTAATCAAGTTACATTATTTTAGTCAGATTCACAGCGTGCTTCAATAAGTGACATGTTATTACGTATGTATAAAAAACCACAATATAAACAGAATGGAAACTCGAGTGATAAGGAATTGATAGATATTAGTAGCGACGATGATGTATCTAAAGATGACTCCAAGACTGAAAAAGATATAAAGACACCTGAACCTGGACACCTGAACATGGCAGCTGAAGAATCTTCGGGCTTGATGGTTACTGTAAATCCAGAAATTATAGGACCAGAAACTGTAGAATCAGAAACAACTACCTCAAAGCAAGAAACAGCAAAATCAGAAATATCTGCCGTAACACTGGAAGCATCTGTGAAATCAAACTTAGTACTCATTTCCATGCAATTTATCTTGATGATTTTATGTTAAATTTGAACAAGATTCAAATTGGAGGATACACTTGTTATCTGTTTCTGTCATTTTAGCTTATGAACCAAGTCGTGAAACAGTCCTTGGAATCTACAAGAAAACGACAAAGAGATAAGGAAAGTGGCAATGGACAATTTTCAATCAAGAAAGCGAGAATTGTACCTATTATGAAATCAAAAATTTCATTCTCTGATGTAGGAGGCAGCGACAAAGTTTTGAAAACTGTCTGTAAATTATTGGCTCATATAAAACATCCTGAAATCTTCAAACAGCTCGGTATATCTCCACCAAGAGGATTTTTACTTCATGGACCACCTGGATGTGGAAAAACGTTATTAGCACATGCAGTTGCAGGAGTAAGAGAATATTTAATTGGAAAATATAGTACAATAGTTACAAATATTACAGTCGAACCTCCGTGAAGGTAACTTATAGGGACCGATTGATCTCAGTAAAAGTAAACTAATATGAGCGGCTCTATCACGACTAATATGTGTTCAATTACTATATAGGAGATTAAAACAAAAATGTGGGTTAAGTGTATGGAAGTTCGACTGTATCTATATACATTATATTCACAGATTATATATATATATATAGGATGAACTAGAGAAGCTGGCATGACGTGTGTATTTATCATAAAAAAACTAAGTAAAAAATATTAAATGTTAATAGTTTTTGAATGGTAAGCTTTTAAAACCGTCCAACAACAGCGTGTAAAATTTGCGCCGTTAGGTGTGGCGCAACAAAGCGGTCGGCTGTACAGGTGCTCAGATGGATATCGCTAAACGTCATGATGCAGAATGAGTATTGAAAATGTTCCGTGAAATCTCTGTTAGCATCTATTGCTATATTTTGAAATTGAGTAATAAATGATAATTATTTATTACTTAAAATGTGTATTTTTACAATACACCTTTTAATGACGTTTTATCGAATCTGCAATTGAAATTACTCCTCATCAATTCAATTGGGCTCAATTTAAGAATACAGCAATAGCTGTCACAACAAAGATTTCACAGAATATTTTTAATATTTGTTCAGCATCGTGATGTTTGGCAATATCCATCAAAGCGCCCGCGTCGCTTTATTGCGCCGCACTTAATGGCGCGAACTTTACATACACGTAGTAGTTATACGGTTTTAAAAGTTCAACCATTCAAAAACTGTTGACACCTCAACACTTTCAACTCAGTTTTTCATGAAGAATACTTACATGCCGACTTCTTTGGGTAGTCTGGACCATCCTGTATATATAATAAGTAGAATAAAAAATACATTTTTTATATAATTGTGAAATAGTATGTGTGTGTGTGT